ATTGATAACAAACAGTGGATTGTGCTGTAATTAATGTACTTTCCTAAAACAAATTTACAAGTGAGGAGACATGGGAATGAGCCAAATCATGACTGTGAGGAGACTGTTTGTAATCCTGGTTAACTACCTTCCTTGGAGTTCATCTTCTTCCTCGTCCTCATTGAACTCATCGTCATCACCATCATCATCATCATCACCATCATTGTCGTCATCATTGTCTTCTTCATTGTCATCTTCCACATTTTCATCTTCCACATTTTCATCCTCTTCATCATTATCTTCAGTATTTTCGTCATCTTCTCCATCCAATGCTGCTGCATCTTTTACAGGTGTTGCAAACAGAAGACGTAGGTCTGGCATTGAACAGGTGCGTAAATGCTGTTAAAAGATACAATTGTTATCAGTTTGTCCACAGATTCTTACTAACAACATCACTTGACTGTTAAAGTGTATCCAGAGATAATGTGTTACTCTAAACCTAAAATGAGTACCGTTGCATTAAGTTACTCAGACATACTGTACACACTGTAATTTTGAAAAACTAATGTATGTTTGGTTTGCAAGAAACATCTAAATTCTATCAAGAACCATCTAGTAAAAGTTCTTTCAAGAAACTTCAATTTTAAGCAATGATTGGTTTTGGCAACTGAATAACATCATTAGATTCAAACGAAGTGAAAAAAATAAAGCAGCATTTTATAAATAAATGAGTTATTACTAGTCACCTTTGAATTGGTATCATATATTCCAGTTTTTAATAAATTTGTACGAGAGGTCTTATCTGGAGATCCATCAGCAGTATGGAATGASCTGTAAACAAATGATATCCTGAATAAATGGCAAATAATCATAATTATCAATATATATAAGAAGATTAAGAGTCTTGACCAATGGAAAAAATGTAAAGATAGGAATATGAGGACCGCATGGCACTATGATAGACATGATATAGAAATGAAAGAAAGTTATAGTGCTTAGAAGGAGGCAATTCCATGAGCAAGACCCTTAGGAATAAATTAATTTCCGACCTCGCTATTACCACAACCTAACATTACCTAACATCTATTTCACCCCGACCTGCTCCCTGGCCTTGTAGCTCAGCTGGTAGAGCATCAGTAGTACAAATCCGAAAATGCTGTGACTGCCCTCTAATAGGACATGACACCAGCCTAGTAATGGGCTCCCGAAACCCTCAAATCAAATTTAAATGATGATTTAGTTCAAAAATTACACTGGTCCCATACAGCACTGGTACATCTGTAAGTATTTTATATTGAATTTTTCAGACAACAGTGCTGGGAGATCTATAGCTATTGTACAATTCATGTATTACATTTCTCATAACAGAGCCATCATAACTTACGACTCGTCAACTGATAAATCCTCAACTTGCAAGTCATTGCTTTTTTCWGAGCTGGCACTTTCAGCTTTGGGCTCTACTTTATTAAATAATGGTTGCTGCTGTTGATCAGATTTTTGTTCATTTGTTGAAGATTTAAGAAACTGTTCATAGGCTTCTCTAGGACTGGTAGGYTTATTGGATTCATGTTCTTTCTTATTAGAATCAGCTGGTGACTCCGATGCACCTATTACATACCAAAGATTATAATACAATTATTGTCATAAAATACAGTAAAATGGCAAATTAATGGAAAGGGTTTAAATGTTAAGGAATTTAATTGGATTTTATGGGGAATGGGCACTCTGTTGGCAGCCATGTAAGGACAGAAATTCTGAATTTCTCATCTAGAAATATTCAACTGAGAAATACTCAATTCAAATTACTATAGAGTTGAAAAAAGTGCATTACGTTGTCATAATAGTTGCCCAAGGAAAATGGATAATCTGAAAAAAATAGCTGCATGACAACACAGTGTCTGTATTGGTGGCCTCTATGCACTCATAGTACCCATCCATGGCAGGCAGTATTGCGTCACATGGTCGACTCTCAACCAATGAGAGCGGATWAAGCAAATTTCTTGTTGAGTTACAATGAACATTGATAGAGCACACACAAAAGTAATAGAAAATCAATGACAGAAATAAGGATCCATGCAGCCAAGCAATAACCTGAAGGACATCATGATTACCGGTATATTATTCATCATAATAAATCATATAATTATAAATAAAGTATTTAAATTATATTTTTACAAACCATTAGGAGAGATAGGTTTGTCTTCCCAGGCCTTCACAGGTGCTTTGGTCTCCTCRCACTCCTCCGTCACAGTCTTCAATGCATCTTTTCTCAGTATAACAGTCTGTGGGCTACCTGTAGGACYTGGAGAAACAGTCATTGTTTGACCAACCACAGGAAGACCACCAGGTGTAGTTTCCTTAGAAACGGTAATAGTCTGACCAATACCAGGGCTGGATGGCTGTGACTTGGAAATGGTTATAGTTTGACCAACACCAGCTGCATCACTTTCATCACGYCCAACGATTGTAGATGTMGCAGTTTGTAATTTGATTTTTTCCAGTGCAGAGACAACTTGGGTCTTTTGTTGTCCCCACTGTTTTCTAGCWGCATGGTTATCACTTGGTTTGATAACAGCATCATTTACACTGGTAGCTAGAAATACCAATAAGATAATATATTAAAAAGGTTTCAACAAATGCATTGATTTTTTTCTGAGCTTATTCACAATGCCATTAACTTCACACACTCATGATGAGTTAAAGTTTATGGGTTGTAATTGGTCAAGTGTGTGCAAGACTGCATGTGTTGCTTGCTTGCTCAATCAAGTGAATCCAAATTTGCAGCTTCAGACCATAACTGACCAGTGCACTATTGTATGTAGGCATAGGCAAGTGTGAATCTACATGCTTGAGGTTGTTGCAGTCTCATTGTTGCTTGTCAGTGGGTTCAT